AATCGACAGTAGTGCCAAAGATGAGGTTTGGTGTAAGTGGCAGTCACAACGAAGACACGACACCTAACATACTTCGAAGTATCCAAGTAGAAGAGGGGGCAACCCCAGCCAAGTTGGTCGGGCAGTTGGACTAGCAATCGTGAGGTTGCTAGTTCGATTCCCGTTGGAGCTGCCTATTGGCCTTCTTGGTTTGAGCCGGTCAGCTATGGGTAACCTAGGCTGGTTTACCTCCTTGTGGTCCTTTGCCGGCTAGGATCACAAGGCGGGGTTTACCTAGTGCGCATCTTCGGGTAGCGGCTGCGGGTTCCCTTGTCAAAAAAAAAAAAAAAAAAGTATCCAAGTAGAAGAGTTCAGTTTTCTCAATTTCCATCCCAATCGTCTTTCTTGAATGTTGGTCTTGCACAAACTAAAGGATGCTGATAAAAATTACACAACATGAAGAGGTTAGAATCAATTTGGCTACAGATATTAAATTGAGTTTAAAGGAAGGAACACAAAGCACAATATAAAGAACCAATTTATAGGAAAAATGGATTGTCCATATATGTGTTACTTGAACAAGGGCATGATTTGGGGAAATGGACATGACCATTGGTCACAGGTATGCTAGTGGTGAAAAATTGAGATGAACAAACCATGTGATCAGTGGCTTATGCGTCAAAGATTCATTGAATACCTTTACCACAATGGAAGAGCTAAGATAAATACCTGAAAGACTGCTCACTGTTAACACTTGATTGGCAACACTAACAATATTAATCAGCAGTGAGATTGTAGGAGGAAGGGGTCATTTAAGCTTTGTTAGATTTGAAATCCACATTGATGAGTTCTAGAAAAAGAGTTTGAGGGACCTCTTTTATCTCCTTAAACATTTGCTTGCTTGAGTTTGCGGCAGACGTCGATGGTATAACCCTTGTAGCCACAATGATCATAATTGAAGATGTTGATGACAGTTTTCAATGGTATGCCCAACAAGGTTTCAACGATCACATTTGAGGAGTGAATTTGTTGGTGAATAGTTTCTATTGGAATTTGGTGGTCCATTTTTTTTTTACAATAAAGGCGGCTATCAAGTGTTTTTGCAATCACCTGTGAAGAGATGTATCGTTGTTTTTTATCTTGAATAATAAGGAAAAGTACCTTGTTCACAGGCTGTAAAGAGGATCAATGAGTGATATCTGCCCTCGAGCTCCAACATAAAAGAGGTTGAGTCTTACGAGGAATCGAATAGTACGTTATGTTTGTTGGTATTCCTACAATTTCTTTGCCATGTCACCATTACAAGGTGGAAGCGGACATAGAGCATCACGGGCATCCCACAACCTTCTTAGTTTTGTGCAGTAGTCACCAATGTTCATATCTCCTTGAATGCGTTCATGAATATCTTGTTCAACATGAAGAAGGTACACATTATTCGCATGATGGAAACGTTCTTCCAATTCCCGCTAGATCTTGAAGGCACTGTAATTGTACATCACTCTTTGAGTAATTTTTGGCGAAATTTGTGTCAAGGATCCATCCATTGACAAGGAGATTGAGTGAGTCCATTGTTTGTGTTCTCTGGTGGGTGTTTCTGATGGTTTCATGATGGACCCGTCCACAAAACTATCCTTGTTCTTGGTGATGAGAGCCATAAGCAAGGAAACTTGAGTCACGAGAACCAAACTTGATTGATCAAAATGGTGTAGATAAAAGGGATCGCTTGGATCGTCGTACGTGTGTAGAAATCTTAGTAGCCTCTGAAGTTTTATCATTCTTTGCCATGGAAACTGAAAAGATTGGAGGTTTAGAGTTGAGTGGGCTATTGAGATTTCAAAGCTCTGATGCCATTTAAAAAAATTTTTATGGTAGGAAATGTGAAAAACGTAAAGAAGGAAAAGAGAATTCGAGAAGAATACTATATATTATATAATTTGAATTGATGTGTACAATGGTTAATTTATACAAGAGGAAGAGCATAATTCTATGCCTAACAATAGCAACTTAAAGAAGTTCATGTACATATATTCTACACAAAATCTATGCTCGGCCTTAGAGAACAACTCGTCTATCACATTTTGTAGACCCTTTTACTTGTCTGTCATCAGAGTCCAACCTCTCTCATCTCCAATCCTGATCTTTTTTGAAAGATAGGTCAAGAACCGTCGCCAAGCTGCAGCATTTTCTTTTTGAATGACTGCATATGCAATGGGATATATGTGGTCATTATGGTTAAGACCAATTGCATTTAACATTATCCCTTTGAAACAACTCCTTAAGTGATACCCTGTCAACACCTTTCACTGTCCTACAAGCATCCCAAAAACCTTTCTTACAACAAATAAAGCATATGTGAATCCTCTGAAAAAATTTGCTTCTGTAATGCACTAATGACTGTCGAGCTAATATTTGTACGTAGTACCTTGGCTGTATAAGATCGCAGCTGCCTAAACTGCTCTCGCAAAGTCTCTACTAACATTTCTTCAGCATATCCCCACATCTTTCATGCTACATTTATGCTAATATCTATGCAGGGATCCATTTTTACTGTTGCCAAAATAAGCTTGGCCTTTCATTTATATCTGCCTTAAATTGCTCAATATACCGATGTGTTAAAAAAATGTAGTTGCATTTAGTCCTCGACTATAAGTATGTTCCGAAATGCAAGATTTTACCAGAAACCTTTTAGATGCATCCACTTTCGATTCTCATACTCTCCATTTGCTGTCCAGTTTGCAAACTCGTTGCACTTTTCTCTCATTGTTTGCCTCAAACTTTACATTATACCCATTCAATGCTCCGTAATTTTTCACTACCTCTTGGAACTCTGATGTGAAACTGAATATTTTACAAACCGAACTATAGATTCATCATGTCTCGATCAAAGGAGAATTCAGGAAAATGATATCTGCCATCCTCTTCGAACGAACATTGGAGAGCAGTTTATCTGACGACGGAAGTTCCAATTCATCCAATTTGATATCATTTATTCTCTTCCTGTTCATCCTGAACTTCATCTTGACAGTCATCCGATCCAATTTCAATCCCATCACGGCATCACTTACATTTCTATCATATTCGATGTCATCTCCTTTGAACCAAAAATTGTGGTTGGATTCTTTGATATCCGGATCTTGCTTACAATCTGTAATACAATTAAACCACATTACAAAACAATACATTCAAATGTTCAAGATCTCAACCAGCATTAAGCCAATATATGAGATTGACACTTTAGCATTGTTTTTACATATTTTCCTTTAACACTGTAACTAATATCACTATACTACACACTGCAAGGAAATCATTTCATGTATTTATGTCACCTCAGAAATAAGAATGGAAAAACAAGTTCAGTCAGGATAAGCATTACAATTGTATCTAATTAATTAAAGAAACATATGATTCGAGACAGAATGATAAGAAAAAAAGGATCAACAAATTGGGAACAAGATGAAGATGGTTTAGGTGCAAATGGCAAAAATGAAAATACTTGTAGAAGCAACTAGGAAACTTCCTGATATGGGAATCTTCAGCACTTTTTCTTCATACACCTACAAAAAATAAAAAAGGGTATTACCTTCGTGTTATCCATCCATGAGCACACCAATGAGTCCGCCATTGAAGTACTGCAATGAAGTGGGTGCTACTTCGAAACGATTTGATTTTGCTCGTTTAGTTGTCAACGCATTATTGGGTAATATATTGTTTTGATTTGGGGCTTAAGGTTTCAAATGTAGAGTTTAATTCGATTTAGGGATTTTCCTTCTTTACTTCTCAGCAATCTGGTTCGTTTATGGAGAGAATAAAAGTTGGGTTTTAATTTTGTAAAAGTTGTTCATTAAATTGGCAATATCGTGTTTGTATTTGGTTGATGTAAATGTTGATTTGGCAAAACATTTAACACTCAGAAGGACTTGCCCCATTTGATGCTCATTATTTTTCATTACATTAAATTAAAATTTTTTCTCTCTTATTTTTAATTACATAATTTTCAATAAAATAATATTACACATAAATCAAAAACTTTTCAACTACTCATTTAAAATGGGCTGGGCAAATCTCCCGAACCGATCGAACCGAATCGAACCGAACCCAACGGTTCTTGTCAAATTAAATATCCGAACGGGTATCTGAATTGAGAATCGACGGGTACGATCCGATTCTCGATTCTAGACCAAGAAACGAAAAACCGAATCTTTCTAATTTTTTTTTATATTGAATAAATCAAATTATTTTAATTTTAATTTTTTATAAACAAATTAACAGTTTTTAAATCCAAATTTTTGGCCCAATAATTCGTTTCATTTCTAATTTTTTAATTTTTGGCCAAATTACCTATTTTATTGTCTTATTTCTTATCCCAACAAGATCCAATCCACTAAATAACCCTAAACATCTACACTAAAGTGCGTAACGCTGTCTCGACTCTCGCAGATATTTCAAAACCTATACAATCGTCGACCGACTCTGTGACCTCCAATCGAAGCTATGACCTCCGCCAATCGAAATTTTGACCGTAACGATTATTTGAACAAGGTAATCTACTAGTCTCTGACATTTCAAAACCATTGAATGTGTTATTAGTTGTATTTATATAATATTGTTATAAATGTTAAAAAATTTAAATATAGTACAGAACCGAACTCGAACGGTTGCATAATTACATTTGGACCCTACGATTCCATTTATTAAATACCCGAAAATTTTGGTTCGATTCGGTTCTCTTTAAACCGAACTGAACCGATCCGCACACATTCCTATTCATTTTTAAAAAAAATACTATTCATCTCATTATAATCTAGAATTAATTGAGCTCAAATGGGGGTTAACAGTCTGCTTGACTTTTCGTCGGTCATGTGGATATGTCAATTAATAGATTTTAGCCGGTGAGTAATGGGCAATAACTGATTAAAATTCAACGACTAATGAGAAGTTTGAAAGTTTAATGTGTAAGGTGTGACATGGTCAAAATTTGGTGGTATAACTCCAAAATGTCCCACTATGTTCTCATTTTCCTTGGGGTCCCCAAAGTCGTCAAATAACGTCAAGAAACAGCAGCGGCAGTAGCAGCAGCTCAACCACAAGGAAGAAGATCAGCAAAGACTTTCTCGTTCAAATCTCTCGTCAGGATGTACGTTTTTTATATAGACACACGCATTTATTGTTGTCTCACTTTTTTAATAATCTGTTTCGGGTATCCTTTCGTGTTCATTTTATTTGAAAAAAATTGACAGATCTGCTCTTTGGGGTGATTTGTTTTGATGGCTTCGAAACGGATCTTGAAAGAGCTCAAGGATCTCCAGAAAGATCCCCCTACTTCTTGCAGTGCCGGTACCCCTTTTGACCCTTTAATTTTTTGGCTTTTGTATATATTGTTTTTAGGTGTATATGTTTTTATCTTTGATTTTACGTGCTAATGGGTTGTTTTGAGGTTTGATCTGTGATGATTGGATATTTATACCAATATTCTAACACGTGGGCATCTGCACTTTTGTAATTTTGACCATGTTGCGTGTAAAAAGCTTTGTTTGTATGTGCGCTTTCTATGCTGAACGCTGAAGAAAATGGATGAAAAACTCTGCATTATGTAAAGTGTTGGTGGGATAGTCGTAGATTTTCTGGGCCTTTTATCAGAAGTCTGATGGGAAAGACCGGTTAAGCTTATCAAAGTCGCCTTTGAGGATCTATGCTTTGCGTTGATATATTCTGATGTGCAAGTGTCGATCATTTATTTACCTCCATGATAGGAAAAACTTACAGTAGCTCACCGTTCTGTAAAATAAATACAGCATCTTACAGGAGAAAAAAAATTGGCTCCTCTTTTTTAAGGGTACTCCCGGGTCATGAACATATCCGGGGATGTTTTTTATTTGCATGTCTTATGAAAAGAGCTGCTAAATCAAGTCCTAGTTCCAATGGATCCACAAGAACTATCTATTTATTCACCCCTCATTTTTATCTATTTATATATTAAATTGTTTATAAATTGTTCCTAAATGGAGGCTAAATTAATTTAGTTAACCTTGTTTTAATGACATTGTTGTTATCTTCCCTGTGTTGTAACCTGTGATATAAGCCATGGATTGAAGTCATTTACTTTCATATTAGTTTCACAATGTAAATACTCTTCTTTTGGCAACGTTATTGTTCTTTCTAGTTTTACTTCAATTGGCCTAGTTTTAATATATGCCCCCAAGTAAAAACCCAGTAGGGAATCATTAAATTCAAAGGAAAGAAAGCTCTCAATTCTTTTCTCTGTTGAATTTATGGAAAAATTAGAAGAGAATTCTGTATTATTTTCATGGTTTTCCCTGAAAATGAACTAATTACGTCTGCTAACTTCATATTTTGCATCATTGCTATAATTTTTATTGCCACCTGAACTGGTAGATCATTAGAACTCATAATCTTGCAGTTTCTTATCTATGGCAACTATGAGTTGGCATTATCACTTGTATTCTATGCTATGCCATTTTTGTATTATCTACTTAGTATGTTCTTTCTCACTGTAAGATGAAAATGTAATACTCTTTTCTGATGTTTATATTTGCAGGCCCTGTTGGTGAGGACATGTTTCACTGGCAAGCAACGTTAATGGGACCTCAAGATAGTCCTTATGCAGGGGGAGTATTTTTGGTTACCATTCATTTTCCCCCTGATTACCCATTCAAACCTCCAAAGGTATGTGTTAAGTCAAATAATCTTTGGAATAGTTTATTTCCTCTTATATTTTATGAAAAAAGTGCCTTCCAGATTTTTTTCCTCTGTGACATACATTTTTGTTTTTGTTTTTGTTTTTTGGATTATTTATTTGAAACATAATTTGTTGGATAAGCAGGTCAGTCATTTGTTTTATTATTTTGAAATTAATTGAGTTTGTCTATTGTAGAGTTTTTTTTATGAGTTGCGGTGTTGTTGTCAAGTCAAATTTGTCGGGATTTTTTCTATCAACAATGGGTTTGACATGTGCTCTGTTGGCACTTCTTTCATATGTGTTTTATTTTTGGTTGCCCATATTGTTTATCATCAATTTTATTTTATCTTTCCTGCATGCAATTTTTCTTTTGTTGGCACTAGGAATAAATTGTAAACCAAAAGTTATCTTGATACAAGAAATAATTACTGCTCTAACTCAAGAAATTTCACCTGCAAATTCAAGTTGTAAGCCCCTGTTTGATGAAGATTAAAATCAAAATTTGATTAATTTTGACTTGGATTAAATCTGAATTTTAATTTGTACCAAACAGGGGCTACATGATTGTACATCACTGTTCTCAAAATAAAATCTGATGTTGACAACACTCTTTCATTATCTGCACATTCTAATTCACTTGAAAGGGGGAAAATCGACAAAAAATATAGAGTGCCGAAGAAATTGGATTTATTTTACATCCTTGTTTGGCTCACTTCAATAACATATCATTAGTCCCAGTTTGGTGGAGATTAAAATTAGATTTTTAATAAATTTTGATAAAAGTTGATGAAATGTGTTGCGGAAATGTTGTGGATCTCATGAAATATGTAGTTAATATTAATCATTGACTTTGGCTTATATTAAAATTTAGATTTTAATTTTTATCAAACAAGGGCTTAATCACAATAATCTATAAGTAAATAAGTTTTTAACGAATATTCTTTTTATCGACATAATTAAATATGAGCAAGTTACTTATTTGATAATAATAATTATTTCGTGGTCAAAATAAGTAAATTTTTACTTATAAATAAGAATAAGTAATAAATGGAAACACACATAGAAACAAAAATTTAAATACTTTTAAGCTTAGCCAAACATGTGCATCCCTTGCAGTTAAAATTAGTAATTCATTTTTAGGTTTAACTAATAGAGTTTATTTATTATAAATATGCTTTTCTAATTATAAGTGAACTTTTAAACTTTGTCAAATGTGAATGAAATGAACATGTAAAATTGTGCAGTCTTTTCATTGAATTTCGATAATTACACAATGGGCTTGCGCTGGACTCAAGTTCACTGAGCTAAAGTAGATTTTTGAACTAAATTTGAACATAATATTTTTTCTCTTTTGCTATCCATCTCAAAACTGTGCTGGGGTAGGTCTTGGATATAGCCCAGATCTGACCCCCTTAGCTACACCCTTGGATATACATGAACTCCTGTCAAATATTTTTAAACAGTAAGAGTGCAGAAGTCTAGATCTGCAGGTATGGGTTGGTTGGGTTATTGGTTTGAGCTAAAATGTCTTCTTGAGCATTTGTTAGCCAAAGATATCCTTCTCAATTTTATGGGGATAAAAGAAGCAGCATTAAGGATCTGTCTTTGGAATAAACAGTGAGAGAAATCATTGGCATTTCTTGCTTCAGCAGCTCAGTAAATGAGCAAATCTGTTGGGCTCGGATACTTGTTCAAGTAGAGGATACATAGTTTATACATGGATATTATTTTTGCTATGCTATGCTATGCCCAATGCAATTCAAAACACTGGAAATTGATGTAATCACATTTCACAGCTCTTTTTTTATTTTATTTTTCGTCGAGCTAGAAATCCATCTATGAGGTGCAGCAGTAAATCAATGTCAACTTCTGGTCAACATGGTATGACAACTTCAGAATCAGATTTAAGGGTTCAGATTTGGGTGATTACCGATGTGACGAGTTAAAATTTTCCTGAAACCGTTTACTTAGTGTATGATACGTACTTGGGGATTACTGAAGTTGCAGTGCAATTATCAAAGATTATTGTACATTTTTTATGCTCATGATGCTGTCTAACTTATTACTGCGTTTTTTTGCTGGAAAATTTTCAGGTTGCATTCCGGACTAAAGTTTTTCACCCAAATATAAACAGCAATGGCAGTATTTGCCTTGACATCTTGAAGGAGCAGTGGAGCCCTGCCTTAACAATTTCGAAGGTTATTTTTCTTTTCTTCATTTTTTTATCTTCCTTGTTATCTAATGGACAAGCTATAGATTTTAGATTAACATTGGAGCAGATATTATTGTCTTTTTGCCATTTGAGGTTTGTATGTGTTTATTTTATTTCGGTACTTCAGTTACTATGTTGTATTAGAAGCTATTGACACACCTGCTTTGTGTCCCCCCAACCCCAAAAAACCCACCCACACATAAAAAAAAAAAAAGGAAAAAAAAAAAGGAAAGTCGATACGATTAGGCTCTACAGTCCAACGGTTTGAACTCCCCAATTCTAGTGGAATTTCATAGAAACTGAAAACAGATTTTCTACTGTGCAAAATTTTATTTTGTCCTTTTTCTAAGTTCTGTGGTTCTTGTAGGTGTTGCTTTCGATTTGTTCGCTTCTGACGGATCCAAACCCAGATGACCCCCTCGTGCCAGAAATTGCTCACATGTACAAGACAGACAAGGCCAAGTACGAGCAAACTGCACGGAGCTGGACTCAGAAGTATGCAATGGGATAGTGTCATTTGCAGTGAGTGCTTTCTTAATGTAAAAATGATGTCTTTTCTGTCTGCTTTTGAGAACAAATATAGAATCAAGCTTCAATTGTTTCCGGCTGAACAAATGAAGCTGATGCTTTGAATTGTTGATATGGAATGATTATTGGGGAAGACTGGATATTGTCTTTGGAATTGTTTGGTATGTAATTAAAGTAATTCTGTTGAATCCTTCATTTTCATTTGCTAATTGTCAGCTCTTGGAAATGGCAAGTTTTACCATCACTTGATTACGAGTCTTTGATCAAAGAATGAATATGACTACAGAATAGAGGGTGTATTGAAAGTATAAGAATACATAAATATATCTCTTCATTTTATCAGTAGTGTTTTTAGACTAGGTAATTTGACTGAAAATATAGCTTCAATGGGTTAAATTATAAACAGTGACATTTAAATGATTTCTATTAAAATTTGTATATTAGACTTATGAATGTCCTCAAATTTTTATAGCAAGTTGCAATAAGACTTCTACCTACTGTAAAATCTATATTTTTGTTGCAAATAAAGTAACATTTAAGGATTTCAAGTTCAAATCATATTGAGCCTCGGTTTGAGTCCATTGTTTTAGAATATATTTTGTAAAAAAATATTTTTTTAGAGAATATGTGGTTAAAAAATAAAGAAAAATTTTAGCCCTTGTTTGAGCCCCATTTTTGGGGAAACATGAATTTTTGAATAATGTCTTGATGGAAAATGTGTGGTTAAAAAATAAGGGAAAATTTTGGATTTGCGTGTAATATTATTTTATTAAAGAATGTGTGATAGAAATAATGTCAAAACACAGTAGAAAAATACATTTTTTTTCCTGAAGAATGGGGCTCAAACAAGGACTTAGTTTATGTGCAAAATGTTTTTATTAGAACGTATAAATAAAAATTAATTTTAGGAAAAATGAGTTGTAGATAATGAGGCTCAAACATGGGCTTGATTTGACATATGAAGCATGTTAAAAATGCAATCACATTTTTGCACCTATAGCATGTTTGGTTAAGTTTTAAAAGTTACTTGTAAGTAAATAAGTTCTAAGGTACATAATTATCAATAGAAGTTAAAAATAAATTGCTTATTTTCATAATAAGTAACTTTCTGAACAAAAAATGTTATTTAAATCTCATGAGAAACTCTTTCTAAAAAAATCTCATGAAAACAATGATATTTTTAAATTAGGCAAGGACTTTAAATAATCTCATCACTCAAGAGAAAATTTATGATTTCTTCCATATATAAAATTTGGAAGTATTTTCTACTTAAATAATTAAATAATCTGTTGTGATACATGTATATATAAAGGTTTGCATAATGATTTACATGCAAAATATGATGAGATATGATTATGTAAGAATCCTTTCAATCAAATGAAAAAAACTTCTTCACACTCTTTTTGGCAAGTCTTTCCGTTACAAATTGACTTCAAAGAAAGATAGGATCGGGCAATTCAATTCTGTCAGTTTTAAGCAAGCCTTAATTATTTATTAATATATTAAGGGGGTAATGACTTTTTTCTAGATTAAGCCCCCATTTGACGGTCATTAATCGATAAAAATAAAGTGTCAAATAGAGAATGTATGGTTAAAAAGTAGGAAAAAATCAAACTCTTCTTGTCTGGGTGGAATAGTGCAGTAAATTCCACTTTCAAAATCAAGCTTAGTCGCAAGATTAGGGAACGAATCCTCAAAAAAGAAATGGAATGAGTTCACAATTATTACCACAAGAAAGCCGCCACCCTCGCCTTTTAAAGTTACAGATAGGGGTGCAACCAACAAAAATGGTATTCAAAAAAGGCATTGAAGGCCTCAAACTCATCTGAAGTTGGAGAACTAAAAAAAATGGGACTTTCTCAAGATGAATGCATCAACAAAACAGCCCTTCTATAAAGATCTTCTTGACATGAACTTTGTCAATAGATTCCTAGCTTCAAACTGATCTTGATTAGTTCTAGCTTCGTTTTTTTGTTGAGATTATTTTTCTAGATTGGACCCATTTTTTGATTATCTCCTGAACGACTTGCTTATCGTAGTACATGTGTTTTTGGGTTCCCACTCATTAAATAATTTGCTTGTGATTGCAGCCTTCTCCAAAAAGGAAGAGGAGAGGACTTGTCCCCTCCCGTTCAATTCATATGATCTATCTAAATGCTTGTACCATAACAAAGCGGAATTCATTGATTAATTTACATTCAATACCTCATGAATTCATATGTAAGGTTTCATTAAGAAGCAACCAAATTAAGCAAATATAAATTATCATACACTGATAAATGACCGATACCCACAACATTTGAATTAAGAGAGATTAAATCTAATATTTCCGAATGAATAAGAATAACAACTATGCAAGTCTTGACAAATTAAATTTTGAAATTGCTCTAACGTAACTATCCCAAGAATAATATTCTTGGAATACTATATAAAACTAATGATGAAGATAAAAATCTGACCAAAGTTCGACGTTGTTGAGATAGCTGCTCATCACAAATGAACTGTTGGATCTCCATCTAGTAGGTTGGATTTAAGAATAATATGTTTTGAACTCGATATCCGAATTTTGCGAGGATAGGGCTTGGGGGAATTAAATATTAAGGTTTATTCATGACTGCGCTGCCTGTAATGCTTGCACAATTTGTGCACGGTTCTCTGGGATCTATTTGTTATAGACAGATGAGATTATCGGCAACGAACAATAAAATTTAAAAGAACTTGGAAATATTGAAAAATAAATATAGAAATAAAACCTCAAAATAATTGCAACTGGCATCCAAAATTCAATCACATGGGAGACACCATACTAAATCAACTAAATTAGTGGCACTCTGTCATTATCCACTTGGTGAAGAAATTATAATGCAGTACCAATAAAAATAAAGAAACAATACAAGAGTTAGTTAAAAAAAGGAGCAACATTTAGAACTAAATTTTAAGTGTGATACAAGTCATTATAATGTATCTGAAAGGAGAAACACGTGGTGTGACCGTCCCATAAGGGAGGGCCACCTCGGTGGGTGGCCCACCACACACTCCCACGGTGTGTGGCACCCGCCAGGTGGTGCCTCGACGTTGGGTGGTTGCACCACGTGGCGGGGAGACTGCCCTACCGAAATATTTCTCCTTTAAAAGATACGTAAGTTAATTTTCTTTGGACTTCCAAGACAACATGGTGCATGTCCAAGCAATACTCAATTGCTTTTCGTCATCTTGGCATTCTTATAACTCGAAGAATTACCTTATGAATGCCCCCACGTTCTTAAGCCATTCTGGCTAGCATTTATGGCAAAAGTTTTCCCAGTAAATCTTTGTCTTGAATCTCTTGTATGCTCTACAACACTTGAATAGAATTCTCCATATTTATGGGGTAGAAAATTTATTTGCTAAAATAGAAAATGTTAGATCACAAGTTTTAAACAATTAGATTGCAGATATGACGAACAACTATATATTTTACCTTCTTGTAAAAATGTCACCAAAATTGGGCACCGTTGAGATAGCAGTTTCTCGTGAATGAACAATTGGATCATTATCTAATAGGTTCGATTTCAGAAAAATATTTTTTGAACTAGTTATCCAAATTTCATGAGAATCAGATCGTGGAGTACTAAATATTAAAGGCTTTTTCAAGACTGAGTTAGCAACCCTGTTTGCACTATTTCTGCACAATTATGTTGGATCTCTTTGTTGTAGAGGTTGAATAGTCTTCAGCCATCGGAATATGAAGTACCATTCATACAAAAAATGCAATTCATAGACAACTCCAATTACACTCAAGTTTCACTATTGAAATAACATAAGTACATTTTTTTTTATTTTTTTAATAAAAAAAAATGAGTGCCTGCCTATACATATGTTATTCTAAAATAATATTGCAAACCACAAATAGACGTGGCCTTTGACAAAAACAATATGTCAAAACAGTAAACAGTGTTTGTTCACACATATATGTACACATACACATACACAATAAATTAGTAAAGAAAATAAAAATTTATCAACAAACTAAAACACACACACACACACACACACACACATATATATATATATATATATATATATATATATATATATATTTATTTATTTATTTTTTTGGTCAGTAGCAAAAATTTGGTAGTTAAAAATTTAACTAATGAAAATTAAAAATTACTTTAGGAATACGTATATCTATAAGAAACTAACTCATAAATTTGAATCAGCTTCATTTCGATGGAAAACAGTCACTTAAAATTTAATTTTTCAAGTTCTTAGTAGCTAGGATGTTTAGGATAATGACAAATGTGCAAGTCATTTCACATGTTCAACTTCACATTTTCTTAAACATAAAGAAATTATTTTCCTATCTTCCAAATTCTTAAACAAAGTACCTAAACAAGTACTTGAAGAAGCTACATTGTTTTCCACTCTATCCCAGTCGATGATTTCCCTTTTTAAGCAGGGGCGGAGTCAGGAATTTTGTCCAGAGCAGGCAAAATTTAATTAAAGTCGAACTTTTCTGTTAGACATCATGTTGTCAAACGACCTCCCGGGCGATGATGAAAACCAATTTTATCAGTTGACATGAATGACTGAACGATAAATCAACACCCAATAATGGATGAACCGACCTAGCGTTGCTTTACCTATTGGATGGCTAATAACCTTTGTGGCTTGTTGATGTGCTATTGGGACTTAACCCTAGTCGAGCCTACTTACCATATTATAACTTACCTTAAGTGGTCATTGGACTAATATATATATTGGTAATTCTCTTCTTCTCCAATATGCCGCGCGTGAGAGAACCCGAGAGAGAGAGGCAGTTTTCCTTCTTCTTTCTTGTGCATCCTGTTGATTGATTTTCTCTGCCTATTGCTTGAGGCTTTGTGACTCTTACCTGTGTGGTATCCATCCTAAGTGAGTGGAAGAAACAACAAGCAAAAGAGCAATAGCAACCATAGGAAGACAAGCAACCCGGCGGTCGGTCCTTCTCCAATTTCTTGGTGTTGAATTCGATGTTTAATGGTTAATTGAGCCCGGAAATCACCTTGAGTAGCTAGAGGAAGATCCTAACATCTGGTATCAGAGCTTGGGTAGCAAAAAAGGGCTCAAAATCGGCTGATTTTCGGACATTCAACATAGAACCCGAATCTGAAATTATTCAATTACTCACAAACCAAAGCTCGGTTGGACAAACGGAGGCCATACCCATTACCAGCAGGTCGAGGCGCCCCCGGTGAGGCGGCG